GCGGCGCCATCCCGCCCCCAGCAGGCTGAGACGAGCTGACACCTGCCCCTCCCCGCTTTCTGATTGGTCAAGACGACCCGCATACCCCCTTCCGCCCCGCCCCCTTTATTAACATATTGCCGCGCCATTGGGCCTAGCGGCCAGAAGGGGTCTCTGATTGGATAAAATCAGCAAGGGGCGGGGTGTTGTTGTTACGGCAACAAGAGGACGCACTGACGTCCCGGGCGTGCGCCGAGACCGCGCATGCGCACTCCATCGCTCCGGCCTCCTTTCCCGCCCCCAAACCAACGGCCGCTAACGGCCCCGCCTCGCCGAGGGAGGCGTGGCTTCATTTGAACGGCCACAGCCAATCACAGCCGCGAACACCGGGCTGATTTGAATATCCAAGGCGGTGCTGCGCAGGGGACTCTGGGAGGTGGCGGGGAGGCGCCGCCCGAGGAGGGGCTGTGCGGGGAGGGGGGCGGTTGTGTCCTCCCTCTCCGCAGGGCCCGGGGGGATCCTGCGGTGCGAAACCAGTGCCCGGGTCGGAGCCCCGTGCCCCTTCCGCGGGCTGGCTCCGTGCGCAGGGAGCCTCCGCCTCTGGGCCGCTGAGCAGGGCGGGGGGCCGGGGAGGAGGGAGGTGGTTGTGGGCCGCACAGCAGCCTCAGGTGAGGCAGCGCCCCGGGGACCGCCACAGAGCGGAACGCGGATCCCGGAACGGCAGCGGGCGTACAGGATCTTCCCAGCAAGCGTTTACTCGGGAGGCAGCTCCGCCTCGGCACGATGCTGTTGCAGCTGGTTGGGTGGGATTTCACCCCTCGGTTTTAAACAAGGCAGAAGTTTGCAGAGCGATCCGCACCAGATGGCGATGCTCCCCCCAACTCTGGGCTAACGGTAGTGCAACCTCGTCTTAAACCGGCACCAAACCCATCCTAAGTAAACCATGAAACCGAATCACCAGCTTTGGGAAACCGAAATGAAGACTTGGAGGTCTGCTGGTGCTGCAAGACGCAATGGGTAGCGCCATTTACATCCAGAATTTGCAACAGTTGTACGATTTCAGTTCCCTGCTGCCATGGAAACAGACTGCTAAAAATGGAGCAGATTGTTCTAATTGTTCAACACACACACACACGCAAGCTTGGATTCCCTTTTCTTTTTGTGATACTGATTCCTTTAAACTATTTCCACGGCAGCCAGCAGCAGATTTACTAGAATTAAATTTTACAATCCTAATTGAGGTTAAGGGTTTTTCCAACGTTTTCCATACAATTAAAGATCCAGTGAGCTCCTCAGATTTATCTAAGCAATCTGTAGCATGATCAATATGCTGCATTCAAGTGATATAGAGGTGTACATAGAGCTTCTACATTAAAAGCAGCATATTTTTCTCTGCTGCTGCTTGTAAAAACAAGGGTTGGAGCCTTTACTGGAACTAAAGAAATTTTCATTCAGGATCCCGCAGGGATGCATCTAGTCTATCTTTTGTCTCTCACTGGGCCACATGTTTTAGGATAAAGTGCAAGAATCTCATGTTTAGGGGTTGTCTTAGAAAAGTTCACTGAGAAACATTATTTAATATCTCTTTCAAAGTTAACGTCTCTTCCAAAAATATGTGTGTTAAGATTGTAACTCTGAGTAGTAGTATAAGACTTCTTCCTTTAAGAGCAGAGGGGTGTTGTAGTTGGTAGCTTGCAAGAAAGTTTGACTGTCCCCACTTTGCCCGATTTGTTAAAAAACCCACCAGTATAAAGCAAAAACATCTCAAGGCACAGTTTCTAGATATAGTTCTGAGAGGACAGAATACAGGTCATTAAAATTATCTTACAGAAAATGAACTTCCTGAAGGTGTGAAAACCACTGAGCTGCCTAAAAAAATACTAACACTGTTTCATGTAATGAAAAGCCCTTTTTCCAAACCTTTCCTACATTTTGGATCAGGTCTATCCCAACAATAGCCCTCTTTAAGGGAGGATTGTCAAGTCTAATGACTCCATTAAGGCAAGCCTGGGTTCATATATACTGCTCCAACCAAGTAATAACTCTTAGGAATTAAAAATCCATATGGCTCTCTCAGCTGTACTACATAACACGTGCAGCAGCTGCTCACAAAAATATTAGTTATTAAAAAAGGAGTTAACTACACTGTATGGCTTACGAAACTGCGACTTATTATTAAATAGAAACAAATTTAGTGTAAAAAATGTTTGGAATCTGCAGGCCGACCATCTTTTTTGTCTTTTTCGTTGTCACTGTTTGTTTCTGGTTGCATTTAGATGCCGTAATCATGACCAAGGCCCCACAGGAATACACATTATAACAGCACAGGCAATATTCTAGTCTCATCCTGTTACTGGGGAAGGGAAGCAGGCAGGGGACGAGACGTACAGATGTAAGTGCCTCAGGGCTTGAGTTATCAACTCGCTCTCCAAGCAGCTGCTCCCACTGGCCAATCTCTTATGGATCAGTAGAGGAGAAGTACAGCCTGATGAACCCCACCAGGTTTTTCAGGCTGGGAAAACCATTGGGAAGGGTTAAAAACTCCCTGGAGTCTGAAGGGCATCAATCCCTTTTGGCAGCCATCCACTTTTTCTCCAATACTGGCTCACTTCTTGTGCTGTTCAGCTTTCCTGAAAATGAATGTTAAATCTGGCGAGGGAAAAGGGGGATTATGCCACAAATTTTCTGAGTGACTTTGGCCAAATTCCTTCATGTCTGCATCACTGTTTTCCTGTCTGTAACACAGGGGTAATAGTTAATTAGAACAGAAGTCTCGTAAGGCCTACTTCTTCAGAGCTTGTCATGTGAGGTTATAATGTGAAAGGAGCTATATTTAACGTCATTAATTTAGGATCTCTGTTGCTGACGGCTTTGCTGTGTTTTAGACTCTCAGTGCCAGACTAATAATCATTTAAGACTCTATGCCCTGGGCATACTGAAGCTAGTAGAAGCTTTGTCACCAATGTAATTTTTATTTCCGTTACATAGTAAGCCAGGGTGCAAGCCTACAGTTAAGACTAAACTGACCTTGCATGCAGATTTTAACTAACTCTGGCACCTCAGAAGGCAGAGAGTCCACACACTCGTTTGAAACAGGCCCTTGTGCAGTCCCCTCTGCTTGGCGAGGGGAATGGGCACAAGCACGGCTGTGCCAACCATAAATATCCCATAATATCATATAGCCAGTAAAAAATGGATGAGTGAGCTTAAGTTCCTTCCTAGAAAGCTTTAGCATTGTCTGCAGCAGGGTGCTGCGATCCGAGCAGGCTGCTGAGCTGCAGATATTTGGGGGATGACTAAGTCAAAGGGCATAGTTTCTAGTAACCAGATTCTGGTCAGATCCAGTGAACTACAGAAACATCGCTGTTTGGGTCAGGACACGGTGTGGTCAAATTTTCCCCGGAGGTAGTTTAGACTGGCTAGGAAGGTTAAAAAAATTAATCTCAAAGAGGAAAGTCCTCTTTGCCTAACAGCAAGAGACGGTCTGTGCAGTACCACCGCACTAGCTCTACCACTTAAAATGTGATCAAAACCTCACAAAACATTCTACTTGCCGAGATTTACTGCTTCACAGACCAACGGAGCGAAATGTAAACTGCACCACATCCGTCTTTATTCCACAAGCATCCCTGGTTCTGTTATTCCCCTCTCCAGCCCCCCTGGATGAATGGCCCTTGCCCCTCGCCACGCTGAATAGACCAGGTGACTCCGAAACCGGCCACCCAGCAGATGCTTCCACAGTACCAACTGTTCTGAATCCCCCAGCCCATCTCTTTTTTTTTTTTTTTTTTTTTTTTTGCCTCCTTCCCCCGTGTCCTACCAATCTAGGCTGCCTGGCACATGCTGCAAGCTGCAGTCCCACCGGAGTGATATTGTGATGGAAATGAGGGAGGGGATGCAGGCAGAACTGCACAGATTTACAGCACTCCAAGGGTTTCCATTAAAATCCTTGACAACTTGTTATTTATGAGTAGACCAACAGCTCTTCTAATATCCAGGGCCTAGACCCCATTCACTTCAATAATGCTGGTTTGGAATAAATGAGCCAGAGGATGGAAACCAGTTCTGTTAGTATAATGGAGGAGGCTAATAGCTGCTTAGAGAAAACAACTGATGTAATTCTGGGACCCAATCCTTTCACCAACAAAACAATAAAGGTTTGATTCTTCAGCGCATTTCACGTAGGGATTTAATTCAGCACAAAGAGGGTGATAAATGGCAGCGTTTGGATTTCGTGCCGTTATATACCCACTAAGCACTCTCTATTTGTACTAGTGCACTAGAGATAAAGGGACTCATTGACTCCTGTGCAAGCAGGAATAGGTCAGTCTGCATCTCCACAGCAGAACAAAGATAAAGAATGTGTCCTCACCAAATAATAGGAGCGACAAAGAAAACCCAACCTCCTCTGCGTAAGAGTAATCTCTTCAATCTCACGGGGGCCTGTGAGCATTTCCTTCCCCCGACCTAACTAAGTGTGGCAGTCTGTCCCAGTGTCATTTCACAACGTTTTTTTCCACCATTCCCTTCTCTGCTCTCTTCCCCTGCCCATTGCTGACATACCAAATACAGAAGCACCTCCGCTTACTAAGTAAGCACAGGACTGATCCCTGAAATAAGGGCTCTGATGATCAAAACACTTTAAACCCTAAACGTGCATTCTGCTGCTCTAAAGAATTATCGATCTCTTCCGCCGTGTCTTAAAATCAAACTGACAAGTTGACTGCTGAATATAACCACTCAATTGCTGCCTTCTACACGGCTTTCCTTTTCCTCGGTTCACCTGCATCTTGTCTATTTACATTCCTTTTGTCAGGAATCTTTTTATTTCCTTTCAGCTCCCTCTGCTCTCCGCAGGAGCCTCATTAAGGTGATGTGAAGAGAAGCAGCAGCAGCATTCCCAGACTGTGTTCTGCTCCACGCCCTCTGCCTCCCCCTCGTCTGCACCCCAAACCTCAGCACCGTGCTTCTGGAGGAGGATGACAATGCTGAAGGTCCAAATTGTTCTGCAGGAAGAGGAAAGAAGACATCGATAGATGAAGAGGAACCAGAAGGAGGATGAGTGGAGGAAAGAGGCTGTTCAAGTGGGGACTGTGGCTGAACGATTAGGCATTGCTTTCTGGAAGAAGCGGAGCCACCAGTCGGTTATTTCAGCATCCTTGCAGACTTTCAGGGCTGAAATAGTTTGGGAATGTGGAATCTGTAACCATCTCCCATTGTGGCCAGTCTCTCTCTTTTTTCCTACACCAAAACTAACTTTTCCCAGGCAAAATGACGGTCCTTCCTATGAAACGAACTGACATCAGTTGGTACGTGATGCCCTCTCTGACCAGTTAGCAGCGTGTCTTTGCAATTGAAAGAAGTTATCATCTGGTTTGCATTTTACACATAGAGAAACAAAACCGGTTAATTGGAAAATGATGCGCCGTGCACAGGGACAGATATATTCAAAATATACTCTGTGTGAATAGGAGAGAAAGCCCAAGGGAAGAACTGACTTCTTGGAAAAGGAAGGGAGAGGGTCTGACAAAAATGAGGGAGAAGTGAAAGGACCAAGCAAAGGGAGAAGAGCTCTCTGAGGCTGAGTGGCTTTGCCTGGATGAGGGAACAGAAAATGTTACGCTGCATCCCAGCAGTGCTCGGTGATGGAAAGCAAACTGGGCCTGCTCCTAAGCTGGACCAAACTGATATGCCCCATAAAGAATTAAAAATACATATTCTCAGAGATTTGCCTCACAAAGTATGACTTCTTCCTTTTTAGATACATTTCTAATGAATTCCCATTCAGATGCTACATCAGTTGGGGTATAAATTGTGCCAAACCCGTACTGTCCCTTTTGAAAATTTATTTCAAGGTCCTTACCCAATACATATCAATGTAGTATTGGATCTCATCCAAAGTATAACTATATCTAATTATCAGCCATTTGAGCTTCTTCTGTATTAAACCATAAAATTGAGATAGGATTGAAACCTCTTATGATTCCAAAGGCTAAATGCAGCAGTAACATAAATAATGCTGTAAATTACAAGCAAAATGAAAACTTGGTCAGAAAATATATGATGTAATTTGTGCTTAGGGGTAAATTGGTCCCTGGCTGCCCAGGATAGGGAAGGCATGACCTGCATCAGGCTGAAGTATATGGCTGGGAGTCTGAATCTGTGCCATTATTACAGAAAAAAAAAACAAAAAACAAAAAACAAAAAAACCCCCATACCTTAAAATACTTCTGAAAGCCAGCATCCTCATGAGATTTATTGCAGTCTGACCCCCTCTGCCGGTCACCCGCTCACTGCCTGTGGCCCAGGGCCAGCACCTCAACACAGGCACTGAGGTTTGTAGAAATGATAGGGGCAGGCAAGTGGAAAATGATAGGTACCCGTGTGGAAGGGACGGAGAGGCAACTCGGGGGCACCCACGCTTGGTCCCAGTAGCTCAAGGGCGTAGGTAGCAGCGTGATGTGACTAACCCCAAGTGACTGGGTTTGGGTTTAGGATCCAAGCTGCTAAAGCCAGTACTAGCAACAGTGTAGAAAGGAAGGAGGTTTGATAACTGGCATTTGGGTGAACTACCAGGGTTTTAGTAAAAACTGCTTTTGTGTCTTTCCACGCTTGATCTGCTTCTGTCAAGACGCAGTGCAGCGAAAGAAGCAAAATGTCATTTAGCATGAAGACGTACGGGAACTGTCTCTTATACACAT